ACAAACCGACACACCAAGTTTCTGCTTTATAAATGAGAGAGATTATTGAAGAATTTTACGGCTGCAATGGTAAAAATGCTTTGTCAGTAGAATTCCAATAATCGTTTATTTCATAGTTGCTTAAATTGCTTCAGTACAACCAATAACGTCAAACATCGTATCCATATGAGAAATTTCAGTTTTCCCCATGTGATGCCCTTGTCAGTCCATATTTTATCCTTTTTCCAACATTTACTGTGAGCTTAGGAATTACTATGTGGACAGATGTGTAACAGAATAGACCGCATCACCTCCACTCCAAGTTTTCCTGGTCTCATCTCGCTATTCTTGTACACGTGATAGGACAATCAGCTCTTCCGCACTAGGTTCTTTTTTCAACAAGTTACGACGGAATCCAGAGACCATCATTGAATAGTATCACCTCGCTCGCTCGTCACCTCTCGGCAAAGACTGAAGTGCTGCGTTGAAAAAGGATTCAGGAAGTTGCGAATGAAAAAAGAACAGTATTTTTAGCCGGGTGGTCATATACGTACTGCTCTACTCTGGTCATTTCGACGACCATGCCTGCCTGTCCACTTGGAATTTAGGAAAAGATATGTCGTTTTTTCTGCTTCTCCAACCATCAGAAAGGATTTTTTCGCAGGAAAGAACTGTATCGCATCGGATTTGACAGGGCCGAATTAGAACATATGCAAAGCTTCCCGCTACCCATACTTCCGACAGTCCGTTCCTTCCTGCCTTAAGTTCGGGAAAGATTCTGATATTATTTTGAAAAGACGATTCAAGATCAGTCTTCAGTTCGCTTCATTTGGATTAGAATTTACACTGATGGTTCGAATCATGAACCTGATCATTTGATTAGACAACATGAGCCTTCGTACCATTCTTAATGCCTTTTATATCGCTTCGAAAGATAACATACCGTAAAGTGAGCTGTCATGTAGACATCGTAACATCCATGTTCGGAATCCCGGAATAGGAGAAAGCGTAGAATGTATATGTACAGAGGGCAGCTCTGACTGAAGCAGATGGGCCACACGCTTGATAAGCATGTTACCGAGATCAATCCCTGCTAGCCCTGAATAATGAGCGAAATCTTAGCAGTGTATCTTAGGATAGAAAATTGTATCTAATTCCCAAAACGATCCGCCATTTACATTTGAACCCTATAAAACACTGTTTCAAACAAGGCTTAGCAGTCACTATAACTTTCCGTAATATACCACCAATTAACACCGTTCCCCGTACTAGAACATCAGAGTGAAACTATGTATAAAAATCTATTATGAAAGAAGAGAAAGATCAAATGACTATTACGCTCTGTTGCTACTCAACACTGCTTATCGATTGTTTATAATTCATGCCATACGTTAGCTACGACCACATCACAACTCACATAGCACAGTAAGGTACGGAAGCATCACTACTTGCCCGAAGAGTGGTCACAGATTCAGTGACCCGCAGCTACTACCATTTCTCTCTAGCGATTCCACTTCAGACACCAGAATGCCAGGACTTTACTGCGATTGACTACTGAAAGTGAAACGAACCCCATGGTTCTCGCTTTCAATTGCTTCTCGTTCTCAGCTGTAATCATTTCGTCTCATCAACCACCTTCGATCCCGACACCCCTTCTAACTACGAAAAATCTAGGTTTTCTCTAGACGAAAACAAATTAACGATTAAAAATTTGTGTGACTCTTGCCTCTTACGGACTCTGATAAACACTTATCATTAAATAACAGAACCACTAAGATGGCCTTTTCTAAACTCGATCTATCAGAAGGATGGCAACGAAGTTGAACGTATCGAAGTCGTCAACAGGGGAGATCGTCCAGGAGAAGCTTCCTATCGTATGCAGGAATGCCATTTAATTTCCAATGTCAACAGACAGGATATTTAGCGTCAAAAATGCAGGAAGCTGCAAACTCGTTTTGGTGAAGACCTTCGATGCACCCGTGATACACCCCTCCTTTTCTTTCAACGAGTAATTTTCAGATAGAGCCCGAAACGATATTGTCGTAGCCAGAAACATCGGTGCTTCCTCTTGCAAAAAATCGTCACGGGAACAGTAATGGCCGCATCAGCGATGGTTCAGAAGGTAGTCATGATCAACTGTGAGGCGCCGTTGGTTATCGTCGGTACTGGCGCGGAAACTGACAAGGTCTTACAAGGGAAGGAGACTAGGTCGCAGTGATATTCAGGATGAGACATATACCGACGTAAGTGCTTCCAAACGCTGATCTCAAATCCGTGTTCCAAACTTGCGAAACAATTCTGGGAACCAAGTTAGCGGTCCATTTTCTCCATGTGTCGTCATACCACTGATTTGCCTTTGGAAGCGAACCGAGCAAGCAAGTCAGCCCTCCCTCATATTTAGGGAAGCCCAGAACTGCATTTGCGAGTAAATTTTTCAACCTCCATAGATAAGGGTAAGGGTACAAATATACTCCAGGCACTCAAGATACGGTTACGATATTTGGCAGCTCCATTCACCTTCGACAGGGGGCGATCGAATCCGAACATTGCGCTGCGCTTTTTGGATGAAGCAGTGCCCTAGCTATGGGTGGGAGTAAGCTAGAACATTTCAGCTCAAGTTTTTACTTAGAAAACCCTGCCAGAGTAGGTGAGCATTTCATGTACAGATATGATAATCCGACACAAATGATTGAAATAAAAAAGCTCACAATATGAGAGCAAGGAATGAAAAAACTTCACCAAACCCATAACTCTCACAGCCCTGGTCTAGTCATGGTGGGAAACGGTATTGTACAAGAGTTTCGAATACCCAGGTACCCTGCTATATATCATGAATAGGAACGTAAATTTTAATTTTAGGTGCGCTAAACAAGAAGTATACTAATGGAGAAGACGAGTTGCAGTCTGCTAAGGTAAAAGTCCAGATTGTGAGCAATTGCTTTGGAGACAATACGCTTACAAATGGTTTAAATGATAAGAAGAAATGCGGTAGTGGGTACTTTCACCGCCTAGCCAGTTAGCAAAGCACTCTGAACTGCTTCAAGGTCCTCGAAAGAGCTCCATGGTCGAAAATCAGTAGATTGAAGGCAAATCAGTTGAGCCAACGAGTCCACCTAACCCAGCCCAGCACAACAAAGTTATGGTGGCTCGTAACCTGCTTCACAGTAGTGTCTATTGGAAATGCGAACTCGTCGATATCAAGCGCTGACGTGGCGTAGAGGGAGTGGCCTCGGTTCAAAGGCGGATGATGCCAATTTGCCTCCCGCCGTCGTCGACATTTTTGCACCGAGTTCCTCCATTTCATAAATGTTCTTAAAACATTTTCTGACATCTGGTTGAGTGAGCGTCTTACTTGTGCTCCCATTTGCGCTTGCGCACAGCTATTCGAAGGAGAATGGTTTCTACGTTAATTGCATGGCTCTGTTTCATTTTGAACTTTGAGAAAGATCCAGCGATAAGGTGCAGCGATGTAATAAGATGCTTTTACGAACTCAACAGTGATGGAAAAACCTGAAAAAAATGTGCACCGTTGTTTACAAACGTCAATGATGTAACCATTGGCGTCTTTTTCCTCATCCCTATGAAGACTGTTATGAAGCGGGTCAGAACAAATGCTATGATCAACACCGTTGGATTCAATATGACCGAGGGTTAATATACTTGAAGTTTCATCATAAGCATAATGAATAATCTATGCACCGTTTTTCTAATTTTTGTGTCTCAACGGGCGAGTATTTTTTGAATCTTGAAGCGATTGACTGTACTATCTTCGATTATAAGGAAGCAACATGTATAAGGTGAGCGGTTTGCGAACAAAATTTGTGTTACACATATCTTTTCGGGTTTTTCCACTAAACTTTTTCGGGTTTCTCCATCAATGTTGAGTTACTAGGGCGTGCTCTACATCTCTAGCATCTTACCACTGAATGTTTCTCGAATCTAAAAATAAAACAGAGTCACACAATTAACGTGCAGAACCATTCTCCCTTGAATATGTGCAACAAGCAAAAAAAAGCGACTATAAAAGCATAAATAATGCGTCCACTTAACCAAATGTCAGAAAAGCTTTTGAAAGCTTTTCACGAAACTAAAGAATCCTGTGCAAAAACCTCGACGATGGCGGGGAGCAAGCCCACGTCGATGATTGATATCGAAGTGACGAGCTCGCATTATTGACATTACTGCGAAGCGGATTTTTAGCCCCCATAGCTTTTTTATGGAATCAATTTTGCAGTTTTAGTTTCCATATTCGTGAATAGCAATCAAGACTATCGACCTATCTGATTATCCACATAAAGTTCCGTGGTTAATAGACTGCTATTTCTTTTTTAGTATCATTACTGACGTTGACGTATTAAAAAAATTTGTCAAAAACATTAAATTCGAGAGGGGTTATTTCAAAATAGGTCCAAGGTGATTTTTTTTTGAGCGGTAATGTATTTCCACTGAAGAAGTTTTATATCGTTGGGTAGGAACCTCAAGTATATTGCACAGCATAACATGACTCTAATTGTATGTTAAAATCAAGTGAATCAACAAAGAAAACCAGTTTCACCATTACTTTCAGTTTCAGTGGAATTACGCCACCATTTGTCGTCTAGAGAGAAAACAATATGCAAATATACTAGGTTGGCAAAAAGGTCCTGACGAAAAAAAATTGAAGCGTCGAAATTTTGTATCAACAGTGTGAACACGGTAGCAAGCATTATGAACTTGTAGGACATTCCCCGGGAAATCAACATATGAGTAAATAATGGCACGCGTGGGGGCTTTCGCAGCATTACGGTCTAGAAATGGACAACATCTGATTCGCACCATCACCTTCTACTAAGCACGTAAAGGGAAAAACGCGGGTGTGGCGGCTCGAAGTATCAGCAATCTGATCAAGGCTAGCACTGCTCACCGATCAACTGTCAACAATCGGTTGGATCGCTTCGCTGCAGGAGATACTAAGCTTCAGAATAACGCAAGCGTCGTCCCTCGATTTAATGGATGTTGAAGGAATCCATTCACTAGGAGTTGCTAAACGCAGGCTAGATGGACACAGCCATCCCTTTATGATCCCCTTTATTTGACCAACGGGGAGAGAGAGAAGGACGATCAAAAGTGTAAATCAGGTCCCTACAGATGGACAACGCACGTCGAAAACTCGATTTAGACACACGTCAAAAAATCATCGATCCCGCTTGGTTCGGGACTGTTAATCAGTCGTACTCCCGGAGTGTTGCCCCTTTCAACTACCATGTGCTCCGTCATGTTGAGCATCCCCCGTTGTGGAAGAAGAATTCGCAACTTAATGTGATCTGAGAATGGCAGTCAATTACTTCCTTGAGTCACAGCTTCCTCACTCCTGAAGAGATGGCATCAGTGTTGGCTCAAAGGATAATAGAAGGTTGTTGATTCTTTGGTAAATGTATTTCCGAAAATGGATCGATTTGAAAAGTTTCAGAAATGATCTAAAAAGATCTTCATTTTGTCGCACCACTTCTTTGCCAACCTAATAGAAATAGTAAGGAAAGGTCTACCAGCAATGAACCTCAAGAGTGGTGAAGGTGTAGCCAAATTTATCTCGAAAAAACATTTACAGGATTTTGAGACGTTCCTCTAACTCCGTATTTTTAGATTGAGATTGGTACCTGGTTGAGTTGAGTTTATGGAGTAGTAAATTGCAGCTGTGCAACGTTGTTCATCGTAATCGAAGTCAGTGCAATTCACAATTCGCTGAAAAAAAGCTAGCGCATGAACACCAGCTGCAAAAGTGAAGAGATTTGCAAAATACCTGAATATTGTCTGCTATTTCATTAAGAAGAGCCACATGCACAATAACTAGAGGTTCCCTTGGCATCGCTTCATGAGAAAAGTAGAAACACCTGAAAACAGCTTTGCACCACAACTTCGAGTGGACAAGAACCTTGAAGACGAACAATGGTCAATGGTTACTAATAATTCCAATATTTCACAACGTTTCGCAATCATGACACTGGAACAACTCTCAATTAAGCCAGCCGTCCAAGAGAAACATTGAGGATCCTTTAACCAACCTCCGACCGTGCCCGAGACGCTGCTTGAAGTCCGACGCTCCTCGGACAGGATGTACTGCTTCATATTCCGAAACCTATAAACTTTTATTGAGATGTGAGAATGACCTCTAGCATATGTGGTTGTCGTCATTTCTAAAAAAAATCTTTCAAAGGAATGATGAGTGTGCAGCCCAAAAAGCTACTAGGAAAACAAGTGAGTGTATCTCGAGATAGCCGTAAATTCTGAAATATATTCATGTATTTATGCTTATATGTATGTATGTATGTATGTATG